ATTTTTTTTCTTTTCTTTAATAAAACTCAAAGGAGACATTACTCAGATAATAATTTCTAATTTACAAATACATTACTGTGAAATTTATTATGTCTAATTTCCTATTTTCGATTTTATTTAAAAAATAAATTAAGAAACTAAATATTATTTCCTATGAATTACGGAATTTGAAACTGATTTTTTTCTTTATTTTCTAGGATGACAAGTGTCGAAATAAAGCGTAAAATTTTAAAATTCTTTAAAAAGTGATTAGATTTTGTAAAATCGAGGCTTTACTTTCTCGGCATTTCTTTTACGAATTCAAAGTTATTTCTTAAATTTTTAAATTTAACAAATAATTTGCCGTAACTTCTCAGAATGATGAATAATTCATTATATCTGATAGAGGAAGAACTTATTCCTCAATAAGTAAAGCATTAAATAAATGGAATTTGCTTCTGTATCTAAATCATCACCTCTTTTTAAACTTAGTTCCGGGTGAATAGGAACATCTTATTTCTAACCGAACTTCCAGTTAGGCAGGAAAGAAGTTTCCGATCAACCGTATCATCTTCACTAGTTAGCGAACCGCAAAGATGTTATGCATTTTCTTCCGTTGAGAGTTTCTTTAGCTAGTCACTACTATCCTAATGATTCGATTATTCGGATGTTAAACTTATTTCTGTAAGTAATTTATTACTTATTTCGTTAATCTAAATAAAAAAAAAGTATTAATTAAACTTCTCTGTAGTTATAGGCCTACATTAGCAAAATTAGCTATTAAAACAAGAAATGTTAATCTGTCAAATAATATAAACAGACAAATTTTTAAAATTATACTTTCTGTTACGAACTTATTTTTATTTAATTTAGTGAAGCGGTTTGAAATCTTAGAATATTTCAAACTTAATTTTCTGGCTTTTCCTTAATATTTGACATACATCAAAAATAAAAATTAACAAATAATCCTTCAGATCTACTTAGAATTTCTAGATTAATATATAAATATAAAATAAATAAAAACAATTAAAATTCAGATATATGATTTACAAAAACAATTTTTTTCCTTGCATCACATGTGACAGAAGAGAGAATTTTTTTTAAATTAAAATTAAATAAGAGTAAATTACATTAAATTTAATTCCGTATAAATATATTTAATAACAGATTCGTTCTAATTTTTTAAATACACTTTTTATATTTTTAGGTTTATATTTTAGTAAGTCCAAATAATTTATTAGTAGTCATAACCATTGCATATCAAAAGGGATTCTAGGGTATGACGAAAACAAGTCACGCTTGGTTCAGTTTGCAATTTGAGAGCAATAGACCGATAACTTCTTGTTTGTTTTATTCAAAGAAAGTTTTGAAAATAGTTGACCTTTCTTCCTGCCTTCCTATTACAGGCATTCTTTGAAAATAACGTCATATTCGAACTAGATTTACCGAATAGCGCAAGTGTTCAAACAAAATTATTGTAATTAATGAGAGAATTTTCCCATCACTGATTCCTCTTTAAATAGGTTAATTTTTCGCAATTTTACACATTCAAGTCATTTATCATCATCGAATAATTAAAAGCCAATCACACTCAAAACGATTAACTAGTGCATAATTTTAGAATCTGATCGAAAGTACTGTACAACATTAAAAAATTATTTCCGCAAACATTTCAAACGGTTTCTGCTAATTTTTTTCGAATGATAAAATATGAATTTCTACCATCAATACATTGAATAACTACAAACCTAACTACCACGAACAGCTAAATATAACTGTTTATTCCAAGCTTTTTTTTAAGGATTTCCAATTCAATGAAGGTAAAAATCAATCATTTACAAATTTTAAAAACAACAAGTCATAAATATATTTAAAAATAGCAGAAAACGTACTCAAAATGCCTAACAGTTAATTAAAACGAGATAATTTGTTACTAAAAATATTTTATTTTCTAAGCAAATTCCAAATTACTAGATATTATCTTTGGATAGGATCCACAAACTCCTACTAATTTGTAATTTCTATTTTTAGGCTTTCCAGACATTTTGGTAGTATGGGATCTCCATTTAAAAATAATAATAATAATAATAAATGATAAGATGGGCAAAACATTCAAATCATGATTTCTTTTAATGAGCAATAAAATAAACTTTTTTCTGTGTTTAATAATGATATGAAAACTTTCTAAATTTCCAATTTGAATTTTATTTATAAGTTAAGAAATTTTAAATCAAAATGAAGTTCATTTAATATTTGTTTAAGTAGGAAATTATTTCACTAATTTTATTTTTACTGGTTTAACTTTATTGCTAATATTATTATATTAGATTTTACATTTAAAGTATTCCTCTTCCTCTAGGATATGGTAACATTGCTCCTAAAACTTCAAGTGGTAAAGTTGTAACAATACTTTATGCTATTATTGGAATACCATTACTTCTGTTATGTCTCTCTAACATTGGAGATGTTATGGCTCATTCATTCAAATTTATTTATTGGAAAGTATGCTGTTATTTGTGTGTGAAACCGAAGAAAAGACGCAAAACCCGATCTACTTATCGGCAGGCTCGTTACACTCCAGCTAATGAAGGTACTGTGGAATTAAGAAAGACTACACCAGACACACCCAAAGCAGATGATATTAGTTCTAGCAGCTATTACACTGCACCAAGTACAAATTCTTCTTCAAATCCCAACAGTCCAATAAATAAAACACATTTTGACTATTCTGATGCTTGTAAGCTAGCAGTTATAACCAATAAATATGTTATTCAAGGAGAGGAGATTTTACATCATGCTAATTATAACATTCCCGCAGAAGTAAAAGACAGCAAATGCTGGAACCAAGCAATCATTCCTGATAGCATTGTGAATGTCGACTTTGATGAAAATTCTACTGATGATTCTGAGCAAGAGGAGATTACAGTTCCTATTTTATTGTGCTTGGCTTTAGTAATAGGTTATATTTGTGGTGGCGCAGTTTTATTCAGTTGGTGGGAAGACTGGGGTTTTCTAGATAGTTCTTATTTCTGTTTTGTGACTCTGACAACCATTGGATTTGGAGATCTGGTGCCAGGTACTGCAGTTGTTGGAGATGACACCCAATTAGCTCTGGGATTATGTTCCTTATATTTAATGTTTGGAATGGCACTTTTAGCAATGTCTTTTAATTTGGTACAGGAAGAAGTAACCAAATCAGTAAGATGCATTGGAAAAAGAATTGGAATCTTATCAGATGATGATGACGACGATGATGAAAATTAAAGGTTTCAATTTTTAAAAAACAAGAAATAATTCTAATAGTTGTACATAATAACTTTTGTTTTTTAAGTTATCTTTAAACAAAAAAGTATAAAGCAAAATATTACTTAGGAATATCAGAATTTACAAATAAATAATTTACAGTAATTATAAAATTTTTCATTTAAAAAATAATAAAATATTATTTTAAAATGTTTTGTATATATATATTATATGTTTCTTTAAAATATTAATATTGTATGAATAAAAATAAATAAATAAATACTAAAATGTAGCTAAATAGATTTTGTGCAGAAAATGAAAAAAAATTATTAATAGAGAATTTAATAAAATTAGTAAAACTTAACATCTGTTTATAAATATTTTATAGAAAAGTCTGAAGAACTGTAAAAATATATAGTTGAAAACTAAATCAGTCAATATTTGATTTTATTAGAAATATATAATAAAATTATCTAGCTAACAAGTATCAATGTTTAAAAAACTTCACTCATTCAACTATTTATTGTTTTTTAATTTATTAGATAACATATTGATAAATACGTAAATTTTAAATACATTTTAATTTTTTAATTAAATTCTTGACAATTTAAAGAATACATTAAAAATAAATTCTTTAAAAAAAAATTTTTTTATAACAACTTTTGATTCAAATAACTACTACTCCAATTAAAATCATTAAAATAACAATCATTTCAAACATAATTAACATTACTTATTACATTTTCAATTATAAAATAAAGTATTTATTATAATAAAAATTAACCATTTGTCACAAATGATAATTTCTTTTACGTTTATTACATCATAAATTTTCTTAGATTAATAGTATACACAGAAAATGCATTTGTACTTACAGCTGAAAAATTGCTTATCTCATATAAAAAATGAAAACTGGCAGTGATAATGTTTTTACATTTATCATTATTTAGAGTAATATTACAAATTTTAAAAATAGTTTCTAATTCTATATGATAAATATTAATCATTAAACTATTACAAATTCAATTCCATAAAAAGGTTTAAAAATTTTCATTATATACAAAATTAAATTCCATATATATTTTTACATAACATATGAGTTTTTATTTTTATGATCATAACATATTATTGTATTTTATATTTTATTCCAAATTGTACAATATAATAGTTATATTACATTGAATATAACATTACTATATTCAGCATAATATAAAGATCTAGATATAAATTTAACTGGAAAAAATTCTATTTTACAAATCAATTTGTAGAATTTATATGCTAGAATAAAATATGTTGTATCCTTAAATTTTATTATAAAAAATTAATAAATCATTAAATAAAATAGTTTTAATAAATTTAGATTTTTATACATCATTCTCTGAGATCTATTGCATCAGAATATTCAAGATATCATTAGTACTAAAATTAGAAAACTGATTAAAATAAAAATGAAAAATTTAATAAAAGCAAATTTTTCTCTTCTCTTAACTAAAGCATAGTTAAATTATACACAGTATATTATCATTCCATTAATTTTGCATTATTCATGAATATTGTTTTCTTTTTTTTTATTTTAACAAATGTTACAAAAAAAATCATATTTCTTTTTAAATATTTGATTAAAAAAATATTAATTGTAATCTATTAAACAAAGATTTGTTTATTTAATATCTAAAATTTGCTAAATATAATTTAGTGACTGTTTTATCTAGCAATACTTTCTATATAAGACTATATTTTCTAAAGTAACATTTGGTCTATTCTCACTAATGACTTGAAGAAAAGAATAAAAAGTTATAGGGTTTCACAGAAAGACTATCTTATAAAAAGTTATTTTAGTAAAAAACAATTTATTAGTTTTTAAATGCTTGTTTTTTATTCTCACATCAAGCTAATATTATTTTTGAATACCATCAATTGAAAAAATATATCTTTAAATCTGAATCATATTAAAATTATTTTTCAGTTAGATTGTTTTAAAAACACAAATCACTGAATTTCAAAACCTATAGTTTAACTTAAACATTCATAAAAAAAAATTTCATTTTATTGTGATTTGATAATTTATGTGTAGTATATTAATGTTCCAGATATAATATTTAATTTGTAATTTTTAAATTTTCATATAATATACATGTAGTAATTATCTATATTATATGTATAAATATATTATATTATTTTCATTCTTAAATAATCTATTTTTGTAAAATGTAATTAATTACAATAATAACAGTAATAAAATAATAGTAGTAATAGTAATACAGTATAAATGTTTGTTCATATGTAATTCTAAATATAGTTAGTGTGTGATTTAATAACTTATCTAAAGTAATTGTTAATAAATTACAAAGAATACTATCTAGATAATAATGTTTAAAATCCTTTTGCTCTTTTATGTTTAATGAAAAGATGCAAACTAGGAAGAATAACTAAATTCACGAAACCTTGATTACATAAATTTCTATGGAAAATGTCATTTTATTTGGAAGTTCATAAAAAAAGTTTAAATGAATGTTTGAAAGAATAACTTTATGTAATAAATAGGTTTATCTTTTTTATTTCAATTTCTCTGAAATATATTATTAAATGATTTAAAATACAACAATTACCATTATTTTATATATGTGTATAGAACAAAACTAAAAGTATTAGTTGATATGCATGCTAAACTCCAAACTTGTATTTATTGAAGTTATGGAAAAACTAATTTATAAAATTGTAATTTATAATAAATAAAATTTTTCTGATAACATCTGTATAATTTGAAGAAATAGATAGTATTAGTTTTCATAATTTTATATATTTAAACATATATAATTTTTTTTCTTGATTTCAAAGATAATTGTTTTACTTAGAATCTGATTAGATTAACTCAAAAAATAAATTATATAAGGATTAACATAAAAATTCAAAGTTTTAATTTTATACATTTATAATTTAATATTAAAGGAGACATTATATTGAAAAACAGTTTCTGATTATATAGTATGGTACTTATTGGTTGAGTTATAACTAATATATTCAACAAAGCCATCTGCAAATTTTTTCACTTATAATAAACATATTTGAACTCCACTTTTAACTAAACATTGGAAACAATAAAAATAATAATGATGAGATAAGAAATGTATTCTTTTATTATATTTATAAATTTAAATTAATAAATAGGAAATTAAAAAAATAAATGGTTTTTGAGTTTAGACAAGTGTTATCTGAATACATTTTTTGAATGATAATGTTTTTAGTATTACCTTGATACCATTGGATAGTTGACAGCTTTAAAAATATTAATTGTTGTAATATTTTTACTTGTTTCATCTAAATGTTTATACCAAAATTAACAAAGAATCACGTCATAGATATATAAATATATTTAACTGATAAAAAATATTTTTAAATTACTATTATTACTATATATTTAACTAATTAAATACAGTGTAAAAAAAGCATTCAGTATTTATATGGTAGATTGTTTACATCATACTTACTGAGTAAAAAAAACCTTAATAAGCATAGGTTGAAAACTCAACTATTTCTGAAATAAATAATCCAACAAAGACTTGGAAATTTTGAGAGTATACAACTCTAAGATGATGAGGTCACATGTGCATGGAAATGGAAGGATTATAAGAACACCTATAAATATTGAAGTAAGGATTTGGCAAGATTATCCTTTCTTTTTCATGTTGCATGCAAGGCAATAAGTCAGTAAGATGTGTACTGTTTATCATATAAATGCTTAATATTGTACTTTTTCTAACATCCTCTATATATATTTACATATGTATCCCTTAACTGGTTTTGTAAATTTTACAATCATAACTGGTATCATGGGGGCTGCGCAGCCCCAAGCAAAATTTGCCTTTAGAGAGCAAGTTTAACAATGTGACAGTTCAAAAGTGCATAAATGCTAAATGGAACCCTTCTTTAGTATAATCAACTTTTATTTATTTATATAATTTTTTTACTTAATTATTACAAGAGATCACAAAATTGTTACAACTTTTGGCTCCAATTAAAATCATTAAAATAACAATCATTTCAAACATAATTAACATTACTTATTACATTTTCAATTATAAAATAAAGTATTTATTATAATAAAAATTAACCATTTGTCACAAATGATAATTTCTTTTACGTTTATTACATCATAAATTTTCTTAGATTAATAGTATACACAGAAAATGCATTTGTACTTACAGCTGAAAAATTGCTTATCTCATATAAAAAATGAAAACTGGCAGTGATAATGTTTTTACATTTATCATTATTTATGTTGCACTTAGTAGCATATTTACCATCTTTTTTCCAGCACAAAATGACAACATACTCTTTTCAGGAGATTTCGGCTTGATCTAGCAATTTGTATAATATCATCATCTATTAGCAGTTCAAATTATTCTTTGGTAGTCATTTTGAATTTTTGATGCAAGATTGAGATATCTTTGCAAACTAATTGTAAAAATACAAAAAAACATAAAAACACATTTCCACAAAAAACCAATGTAACTGGAATTGTGGGGGCTGCGCGGCCCCCAGAAGGTACGTAGCTCCATCCTTGTAAGTGCTACAGGGCTGAACATTTAACACTCGCTAAGAGTCGCGACATAATGAGATTACATAAAATGGCAGCTGCGCACAATATTTAGATTTTTAGAAAATCGTAAAAATATGACGCGTGGGGGCCACGCGGCCCCCATAAAACCAGTTAAGGGGTATGTACAGTACATTTCTGAACTAAATACAATATAATATAAAATTTAATAAACTTCTAAAGGTTTGCAATATTTTATTAAAAGGCAATTATATGATACTGTAATTACAAACTAATTACTTAAAGTGCCATTCATTGTAACAATGGATAGTTATTACCAGATCAGAATTAATGTCTCAAAATGTACGGTATAAATAAAATAACATTACAAAGTTTTGCTTATTGTAATCAGAAACTAATAATTATTATTATGTCACTAATGATAAGTATGAATTTACTACGGTAATCTTCAATACTATTTAAATAAAATGCAATACTATACTGTACCTCTTACTTGTTAGCTTAATTGTAGTAGTAAATAAAAAAATACAAAGATTTGTCTCAAAAATAAACTAGAATTTTAGTGTTTATGTAACTATTTTATAATACTATGATAAGTTGCCAAATGTAATGCTGCTACAGTTAAAACTTTCACATTCAGTTTTGTACAAGATTTGGAAAAATAGTGTGAATATTAAAGAATCAACAGGAAAAAATGAGAATATGATTCATGAAAGAAATCAAACCAGAAAAATTTGTGAATTTGAGTTAGCTTTAAAGCTTTGGTCTAGGATGTTCATTAAAAAAATGCATCTGTTGATGGACCACTAACATGTCATAAAGCAGAATTTATAGGGAAAAAAATATTTTATTGAAACCAATGTGTGGTTAAATTAGTAGAGAAAATGCAAGAACATTGTATACAAATGCATTCAAGGCTAATAGAAAAGTTTTGATTCTGTGTCAGCTAAACTGTGAATAAAGACAACATGGCCAAAAATTATTTCTGAATATTTACCAAGGAATATCTGCAATGTAAGCTATTAGTGTATGTTTCATCTGAGGTCACAAAGGTCTTATCATGTTGAATAAACTTTTATTTTGTTACAAGACACCTTTTAGTGTAAACATGTCAGCCTGGTCATTAACAGGTTTTTTTTTTTTTTTCAAATCATGTGCCTTTTTACCATGCCCTCTAGTTCACACTGCTCAGATTCTTTCTTATATTAGCACTTTATTTTCATGCAATGCCTTATCATCCTTATATGTTTAAACATTAAAATGCTAAAGGATTTAAAGCACTGAATGAATGTATTTCAGTTTTGTTGTGCTAATTTGCAAGGTCAGAAACAAAGACTTCTAATGGCTGAAAAAGAGTAAAACTCTTACATGTTTAAGGGTATGATTATTGTTCAAATAGAAATGCCTGGATCTTAATGAACATTTTTAACAACTGGTTAGTTAAATGAGATATAAACTTAAAACAAAAATTAACTGTCATGAAATCAAGTTGAAAATTGTTTTAAAAATAGGCATGAAGACATCTGAAAATAAAGTTGTGTCTGTTGAAAAAGAGATCATAAATAACATTCTAGAAGTTATGCTAAAACAGTTTAAACTTATTGGCAATTTACAACAAAATTCCAGTGTCTACTATGATGACCATCAGAAATATGCCAAATTGTAACTTAAGGCTCTATAGTTCATTAATGAGCAATCTTTTTTTTTTTTGATCACAAGTGAACTTTGTAGGCTTCTGGCAGGCATTTCTTTCCTGCTGAATACCAACATACTCCATAACTGCCAGTACAATAGGTACTAAAATACTGTATGCTAATAATATGCAAGCTAGCAATGTATAGTTTATTTTCATCTTTTTACTGGTCAAGTTAAGTTTGAATGTTCTTCACAAATATCAACTTAATTTGGGTGCATAACAGCACAAGACAAAAAAACAGAAAAATAAAATTATGTTGCCAAAGCCCACAGGTTGCTCTTGACCACTCTAGATCCTTCAACAAATGTTCAGATGCAAAAAGTTCTATGAATACTGTTATGGTTTACAGTACAAATGTGTTAAGTTTCAAAAAAATATTATGAATCAGGTATTTTATTGACAAAATATTGCCAAAAACAAAAAAACTGGATAAACTGCTCAAATAATAATAATTATTATTATAAATGAATTATAATTTAACTTTTTATTAAGTTNAAATAACCAAGGCAGGGTATATTATTATTATACAAATAATGTTAATGACTTCTGAATATATTGATAGTTTTTTCTAATAATATGCACCATCAGGCACAACGTTCGGGTAATCCAAGGTCACAATTAGTCAAGTCTATTGTTTTCATTCACCTGTATTTAATAACTTCATTGCAACTTTTCCAAACGAGAATTTTCAAGAGGCGGATCGAAACATCTTACAATAGATTCCTAATAACGTTCGTAATGAAACTATTTCTTCATTTTTCAGACTATATTTAGTTCATAATTTTTATGTGAGTTATTAAAAAGTTTTGGAGAGAACAGAATAGATTCATCTGACATTTACTAATGCAATTATTCAGTCTCTTTAAATATAATTTCTTTCTCTTTTTCAAAAGAAACTATCGATTTCTTTCCGAAGTATAAAAATAAGATTTTAATGAAGATGAAATTTGTGTTGGACTAAAAACAGTTTTTAAGATTATTAAAATTATTTTTATTTAATAATTCGAATCGTATGAAGATCAAAGATCATTTTTTCCCTTTTTCTTCTCCAATTATAAAATGATTCAAAATTTAAATTCAAGGAAAAGTGTTAGAATAAATAATAAACATTTCTCATACTTGCTTGCTTTTCTAAGGGGATGGAATTTTCCTGTTACGATCGTGGAGATAGCACTTGGTGCAATTAATATAAATTTTTCCGCAATGATTTTTCAATTATTTTTTAAAGCTTTTTTTTATTTTTAAGCAGGTATCAAATACTATTTTTGTAATGATTTATGAAGAAGAAATATTACACATTGGTATAAATAATTGTTGTTAAATTTGTTTTTAATTAACTTATTAAAAACAGTGCTTTTTATCATAGCTGAAATCCAGAAATATTTATATCAAATATTAATATGGAGAAATATTGAAATTGCGTTAGATTTTTTTTCTTTTCTTTAATAAAACTCAAAGGAGACATTACTCAGATAATAATTTCTAATTTACAAATACATTACTGTGAAATTTATTATGTCTAATTTCCTATTTTCGATTTTATTTAAAAAATAAATTAAGAAACTAAATATTATTTCCTATGAATTACGGAATTTGAAACTGATTTTTTTCTTTATTTTCTAGGATGACAAGTGTCGAAATAAAGCGTAAAATTTTTAAATTCTTTAAAAAGTGATTAGATTTTGTAAAATCGAGGCTTTACTTTCTCGGCATTTCTTTTACGAATTCAAAGTTATTTCTTAAATTTTTAAATTTAACAAATAATTTGCCGTAACTTCTCAGAATGATGAATAATTCATTATATCTGATAGAGGAAGAACTTATTCCTCAATAAGTAAAGCATTAAATAAATGGAATTTGCTTCTGTATCTAAATCATCACCTCTTTTTAAACTTAGTTCCGGGTGAATAGGAACATCTTATTTCTAACCGAACTTCCAGTTAGGCAGGAAAGAAGTTTCCGATCAACCGTATCATCTTCACTAGTTAGCGAACCGCAAAGATGTTATGCATTTTCTTCCGTTGAGAGTTTCTTTAGCTAGTCACTACTATCCTAATGATTCGATTATTCGGATGTTAAACTTATTTCTGTAAGTAATTTATTACTTATTTCGTTAAATTAATCTAAATAAAAAAAAGTATTAATTAAACTTCTCTGTAGTTATAGGCCTACATTAGCAAAATTAGCTATTAAAACAAGAAATGTTAATCTGTCAAATAATATAAACAGACAAATTTTTAAAATTATACTTTCTGTTACGAACTTATTTTTATTTAATTTAGTGAAGCGGTTTGAAATCTTAGAATATTTCAAACTTAATTTTCTGGCTTTTCCTTAATATTTGACATACATCAAAAATAAAAATTAACAAATAATCCTTCAGATCTACTTAGAATTTCTAGATTAATATATAAATATAAAATAAATAAAAACAATTAAAATTCAGATATATGATTTACAAAAACAATTTTTTTCCTTGCATCACATGTGACAGAAGAGAGAATTTTTTTTAAATTAAAATTAAATAAGAGTAAATTACATTAAATTTAATTCCGTATAAATATATTTAATAACAGATTCGTTCTAATTTTTTAAATACACTTTTTATATTTTTAGGTTTATATTTTAGTAAGTCCAAATAATTTATTAGTAGTCATAACCATTGCATATCAAAAGGGATTCTAGGGTATGACGAAAACAAGTCACGCTTGGTTCAGTTTGCAATTTGAGAGCAATAGACCGATAACTTCTTGTTTGTTTTATTCAAAGAAAGTTTTGAAAATAGTTGACCTTTCTTCCTGCCTTCCTATTACAGGCATTCTTTGAAAATAACGTCATATTCGAACTAGATTTACCGAATAGCGCAAGTGTTCAAACAAAATTATTGTAATTAATGAGAGAATTTTCCCATCACTGATTCCTCTTTAAATAGGTTAATTTTTCGCAATTTTACACATTCAAGTCATTTATCATCATCGAATAATTAAAAGCCAATCACACTCAAAACGATTAACTAGTGCATAATTTTAGAATCTGATCGAAAGTACTGTACAACATTAAAAAATTATTTCCGCAAACATTTCAAACGGTTTCTGCTAATTTTTTTCGAATGATAAAATATGAATTTCTACCATCAATACATTGAATAACTACAAACCTAACTACCACGAACAGCTAAATATAACTGTTTATTCCAAGCTTTTTTTTAAGGATTTCCAATTCAATGAAGGTAAAAATCAATCATTTACAAATTTTAAAAACAACAAGTCATAAATATATTTAAAAATAGCAGAAAACGTACTCAAAATGCCTAACAGTTAATTAAAACGAGATAATTTGTTACTAAAAATATTTTATTTTCTAAGCAAATTCCAAATTACTAGATATTATCTTTGGATAGGATCCACAAACTCCTACTAATTTGTAATTTCTATTTTTAGGCTTTCCAGACATTTTGGTAGTATGGGATCTCCATTTAAAAATAATAATAATAATAATAATAAATGATAAGATGGGCAAAACATTCAAATCATGATTTCTTTTAATGAGCAATAAAATAAACTTTTTTCTGTGTTTAATAATGATATGAAAACTTTCTAAATTTCCAATTTGAATTTTATTTATAAGTTAAGAAATTTTAAATCAAAATGAAGTTCATTTAATATTTGTTTAAGTAGGAAATTATTTCACTAATTTTATTTTTACTGGTTTAACTTTATTGCTAATATTATTATATTAGATTTTACATTTAAAGTATTCCTCTTCCTCTAGGATATGGTAACATTGCTCCTAAAACTTCAAGTGGTAAAGTTGTAACAATACTTTATGCTATTATTGGAATACCATTACTTCTGTTATGTCTCTCTAACATTGGAGATGTTATGGCTCATTCATTCAAATTTATTTATTGGAAAGTATGCTGTTATTTGTGTGTGAAACCGAAGAAAAGACGCAAAACCCGATCTACTTATCGGCAGGCTCGTTACACTCCAGCTAATGAAGGTACTGTGGAATTAAGAAAGACTACACCAGACACACCCAAAGCAGATGATATTAGTTCTAGCAGCTATTACACTGCACCAAGTACAAATTCTTCTTCAAATCCCAACAGTCCAATAAATAAAACACATTTTGACTATTCTGATGCTTGTAAGCTAGCAGTTATAACCAATAAATATGTTATTCAAGGAGAGGAGATTTTACATCATGCTAATTATAACATTCCCGCAGAAGTAAAAGACAGCAAATGCTGGAACCAAGCAATCATTCCTGATAGCATTGTGAATGTCGACTTTGATGAAAATTCTACTGATGATTCTGAGCAAGAGGAGATTACAGTTCCTATTTTATTGTGCTTGGCTTTAGTAATAGGTTATATTTGTGGTGGCGCAGTTTTATTCAGTTGGTGGGAAGACTGGGGTTTTCTAGATAGTTCTTATTTCTGTTTTGTGACTCTGACAACCATTGGATTTGGAGATCTGGTGCCAGGTACTGCAGTTGTTGGAGATGACACCCAATTAGCTCTGGGATTATGTTCCTTATATTTAATGTTTGGAATGGCACTTTTAGCAATGTCTTTTAATTTGGTACAGGAAGAAGTAACCAAATCAGTAAGATGCATTGGAAAAAGAATTGGAATCTTATCAGATGATGATGACGACGATGATGAAAATTAAAGGTTTCAATTTTTAAAAAACAAGAAATAATTCTAATAGTTGTACATAATAACTTTTGTTTTTTAAGTTATCTTTAAACAAAAAAGTATAAAGCAAAATATTACTTAGGAATATCAGAATTTACAAATAAATAATTTACAGTAATTATAAAATTTTTCATTTAAAAAATAATAAAATATTATTTTAAAATGTTTTGTATATNATATTTTACATATTACTCACAACATAATGCATTACTTACTTAGTTGCAACAACAATTGTCACAAATGAACATTATTATTATCTATTAACATGAAAATATGTTATTTTGTTGTTATAATTTTATTTAACGTATTACTCAAAACAATAAATTAAAACCCATATTTAATTTTTAAATCTTAACAAATACATTTTTAATTTTCCTAATACATATTAATAGAACTTATAGAAAGTTTATAGAAATTTATTCTATTCATATCAAGTATTGGCACTATGCTTAGTACTTCGTAACTTACCTATATAATTTAGTAAACCTCTGAATTGTTTTTTCTAAATTTTTATAACATTAAAACACAATAAATAGTAATACCTTGAAAAGAATTATTTTAATAAAATATTTAACATTAATCCTTATTAAATATGGGCTATTTCATATTTCAGTAATAAAGAATCCTATTTGCTATGAAATTAATATATTTTTAAAAAATCATGAGATGTTAGGTATAAACAATAAAACTTATTAAGGCTGCATATATAAAATTTCGTTAGCATTTCGATATAGAGTGGCATGATTGTGTTCCATCAGTATAAAGTGGATCTACATAGGACTAATAGGGCTTAAGCCCTGGGCCCCCAAGTGTCAAGGGCCCACAAAAATTGAATTATCATCATAAATTTTTAATACTTTTTCATTAACAATGAGCACTTATCATATAGTAAATTATAGTTATTATTATATTAACTATTTTTTACTATATATGATAATTAATATAATAATAATGATAATTTATAGTATTATTTGTATTAACAAAAAATGGGGCCCAATTGGACTTCAATAAGCCCTAGGCCCCCCAAAAAATCTTTAAACTTATTAAATAATGTTATACATTTAACCTTACAATTTGTAACTAACTACATATATTTATATACCAAATTAAAATCAGATAATTCTCTATAATAAATTAATCCAGAAAGAAACAGACTTGACATTTCATAATAATAAAGTGTAATAAAAACTAAAAAAATTATATGTTAAAAAGTTATGATTGTTTCTGAAAGAAAATTTAAAAACATTACAAAACTATGGCAATATTTATGTAATCTCAAAGAAATGTTTACAATCTTATATAATTATTTTTATATAACTTTCTTTTTAAAACATTTCAACATTTAATATATAAATAACAAGATTCCTTAATTTGTAAAAATATTTCCTTACATTTTTATAATTGAACTCATGTAAATATTACTAATTATATTATTTACTAGCAGATCCCGCCACGCGTTGTTGTGGCTCAAAATGTATCTATTATAAATGTATAACACTTCCCCCGTGTGGGGGGAATTTTTCGAAAAATCCCGTCTTAGTGTACATTCTCTTGATGTACCCTATTAAAACACAATCAAAAACGCAAAAAACTGCATCTAAAATAATATAATAGAAGCCAAGTTCTTCACGGTAAGCCTTAAATTAATCCTGTCCTTCTCCCCCGCGGGGGGAATATTGAAAAATCCATTTTTAGTGTATATTCTGTTGACGTACCCTAGTAAAACGCAAAAAACCGCATCTAAAATAGTATAAATAGAAGCAGAGTTCTTTAAGGTAAGCCTTAATCCTCTCCATCCCACAGTGGGGGGAATTTCGACACGTATATAAAAACACGTGCGTATTCAAATGCAGTGTTGTGTGAAAATTCCAAAGGAATCGGTAGGAACAAACTAACATTACATTTTTATTTATATAGATAGAAGATGATCTGCTTTAGTTCATCCTCACAAAAAAAGCAAACTTAGGGCGTCGTACTCGTAGCGCCATCTGTTGGACATAAAAGCCTTAAACCTAGATGGTATCTTTTAATTTATATGAATGTTTAACAAAATAATATACAGCCTATGTCCACCCTGAAGCTCCATTCTAAATATTGGTGAAAGAATTTTTGAAATCGGATGAGTAGTTTCGGAGATTACCCCCCTACATCCAAACTTACAAACATTACCTCTTTATAATATTAGTATAGATAAATCAGTTAATGTAAGTACAGTGGTACACATTGTACTACAGTTATTATTTGTTGTAAAGTGTTTATGAAATATTAATACACCGAATATTTTTATTCAGTATATTATTAATAAAATTAATTAATTAGTTGAACTAATGGCATAGTTTTCAGAAATTAGTAAAAATAAAACATTTAAACTTATGATCTTCATTGTTTATTAACAGTGTTAATGCTGTTTACTTTTCAATTCTTTATTTTTAACACAGTACTTTATAAGTTTCTCCTCTCAGGTAAATTAATTTTGTTATAAAAATTCATATAATAATTTTTATATACAATTTTATTTTTCAAAATTTGAATAACTTGTAAATTCAAAGCAAAGTCAATAAATTCAAATAAGTAATTTCTGATATCTAAAATAATTATGTTAAAATAAATATATTAGTTTTTACCATTACTTATTATTAAGTATTACTATTTATTGTGCATTCACTAATGTATTACAAATAGAATGAAATATTTAATTAAAGTTTTAGTTTATAACAATATTAATTTAAAATATGTCTATCATATAGTAATACCTTTCATGCTGCAAATTTTAATTTATTTTCAAAAAGTGGATTTTTTAAACAAGTTACAAAAGTGAAAACAAACTAAAAACAGATTTTTAACAAGTTATTAGATCTCAATAAGAATGAAGATGAAATCTGCCCAAAAGGGATCACCATTTTATTTTTTTATGTTCCAAGACAATACACTTTTTTTCGGCGACTGACTTTTCTTTGTTGCCGGTAGTATAAAATAGTCCTTTTAAAACACAAAATATTTCCAATTAAAATTATAAAATAATTTCTGAAAAAGGAACTGGTGATAACAGATGTCTTGCTTATGTCCACCCATATCTTCTCATGGTGATCCCTTTTGGGCAGATTTCATCTTCATTCTTATTGAAAAATAATTCTCCATCGGACGAAAATTTACTGAAGTTATTAGATCATTAAAAATTAAAACTTTCCTTGCATTTGGAAAGATGAATTATGCATATTCATTATGTTAAAATTGATTTTTCATTTTATAATCACTAGCAGTATGATTTATTAATTAGAAACATAAATATATTCTGTTCTCAAATAAAGTATTTATGAAAAATATAAAAGTACAGTAGAACCTCAATTATCCGGATTTTCGATTATCCGGATTGTTCAAAATAAACAAAAATTTTACGAATTTGCTGATTTGCACTTGGTGAATTACGACACTGTTTATGTACATGATGGAATGCATAACTTTTTTTGTTTCAACAACGTCCCACCTAGCATAGTGGTCGTAAACTCTTAAATATATTTTACGTCGTAATAAAAATATAACTTGACATATGTATTTATAAATAATTTATATTCAAATTACATCATTTCTATGACCAAGGGCGGCATAAGGCATGGACAACGTGGGCCATCGCCTATGCCTCGTGCCTCGAAGGTTTATGCATTACTTAAAAGCCGTGAACGCAATGAAAAAATTTTACTCGTCATAAACGATAAACAGTTTGTCAAATTTTTATTCATAAAAATGCAGTTTCAACTGCTTTTTATTTTATAAAATCCGTCTTCTTGCACCACCAGAGTGCCTCTTAAACAATAGGTAGTCTGTTAGCGCTGGTCAGTAGCAGTCCAAATTCAATACAAACATTTGTTTCTTGAAAATTTGATCAAGATTTAAGTACAGGTATACCTCGACTTACGTCGTTTCGAGTTACGTCGTTCCCGATTATACGTCGTTTGTCAAAAAAGTATATGGAAAAATAAAAATCAAGTTTAAGTCATTTTATTCGACTTTACGTCTGTCCGCCACAAATATTGAAGTCGTAATATCACTAGAAAAGCATTTAAAGCACATAAAATCATATTAAAATATATACATTTACAAGTAGGCTATGTACTGTATTTACAGTACATGCATTCTTAAATTTAGATTACTTTTTTTCTGTACTATATTAAAAACTAAAATTTATTTGTTTTAAGCTTAAAATAGATCCTTATTAACCATACATTATTAAAAATGCATTACTAAATAAAATACAGAACCGGATTGGCAATTTATGGTTTAGCCTAGTGACAAGTAGATTTGGAGACAAGTAAATTCGACTTACGTTGTTTTTCGACTTAAGTCGTTCTCCTGGAACCAATTAACGACGTAAGGCGAGGTATACCTGTACAGTATTTATTTTTAATATTACCAATATGTCATCGAAAAGAAAATGTGTTGTATTATCATTAAAAGACAAATTAATATATTTGTTTTGATTATCCAAATTTTTCCTTATCCGGACTACCTTCATCCCCAATTAGTCCGGATAATCGAGCTTCTATTGTATATAAATTAAACCTACATATATTATTTTATAATTTCATTATTGAGATTTAAAATATATTTAATCTATAATTTACTACTTAGTAAATTATTTAAATCATTATACTTGAATGTAAATATATTATTCATTCTTGCTTTTTTGTTTCCAAATTATATTATATACATTTTGATAATGAGTTTTTGCAAATGATAACACAGGAGTTATAGCAATAGATGCTTCATTCTTTTGTATTTCTAGAAAACATTTCATTACAAATTGATTCATATGACTTACATCATCTGAATGAGACTGGAAATCATTGATCTGTATACATAGAAATATAAGATTCAAATTAAAACGTTGTTTCTTTATTTAAATAAAAATAAAATAAATTTGTTAACATAATTTTTACTTACATCCATCCAACAACATTCTGCAATTTCATTGGTGCATTTTTTGATGCAGCCACCTACAGGTTTCATATGACAAACAAAATAGATATCACTGCAATCAAAAATATGTTTGTGATGATGACGAAATAACACCAATTCTACAAATTCTGTTTCTATTCCTGTTTCTTCTAATACTTCTCGTTTTGCAGTATCTGCAATATCTTCACCTAAATTTGTCAATTATGAATCACAAAATATCAGTAATTTTAATTTATTTATAAAATTTTTATAAATATGTAAAAATTGAAGTAATTTCTTCAAAATAAAACCTGGATTAGCATATCCACCAGGAAATTTCCAATGAGCTTTAGCTCCATATTTTTCTTGAATTACTAAAACTTCATTCTTGTCATTGACAACTAAGCCTCCAACTCTTAAAAATTTAATAAAACAAAGAATAATTTAACACATATATAATCATCATACATTTATAATATTCATATATATTTTTTAATATTATAAATATATAATAAACCATCAATACACCTTTCTTGCTGAGATATGTTTAATCAAAACACTAACGTTTTTGACCTAATACAATAGGCCATCTTCAGGTGTAACTGAAATTCGAACGTATTTTTAAAAACAACATTTAAATGACAGAATGTCTGAACATTGTTGTTTTTAAAAATATGTTCTAATTTCAGTTACACCTGAAGATGGCCTATCATATTAGGTCAAAAACATTTGTGTTTTGATTAAACATATCTCAGCAAGAACGATGTATTGATGGTTTATTAAATGTTAAAAGCTGAGTTGGATATTTATTATAAATATAGACATACTAGCTGAAGCACACAGCTTCTCTCAGGAAAATAATCATATAAAGGTAATCATATATAAAAATGTATATATGAAAAAAATTTGTGCTTATAATATAATATAAGCACAAATTTTAATATAATAGATCCAATCAAAAACAATTTTATATTGAAAAAAATTCTGGGACTCACTGACAATCTGACATGAATGAAAATGAGAATGGTAATATGTTCAGTACTATGTACAGTACATTTTGTTGAAATAACAGACTGACCAATTTTTACTGATGTCTGCTTTTGTCTATTAATGACCACATTAGCATATTGAATTTCAATTTCATTTCACTTCATGTTCACCAGTCTCTGGGCCAAAACTTCTTATTCATGTGAAAGACCTTATTAAAACCAGGTATGAATAATTTACTTTTGCAAATTATATCATAATTTATCAAAACTTATAAAATCAAATGTTTGGAAATAGAAAGCAGTCTATATCCTTTCCAGGATTATTTTAAATATATGTACAAAGTTTCATAGAATTCGGTTCAGCTACTCTCACATTACTCAAACAAACAGATATGATTCAATTATACAATTATTTATTTATTTTATCTTTCAGTAAGTGTTTTCATTCCACAAACACTCTTTATGGAAGTTGGTTGCACAATTTCAATATTATAACAGATGTTTAAAATATTTGAAAACTTTGTTAAATTTCACAATAATTTAATATGAATGTTATATTCTGTAATTTATCCTTACTTGAAATTAATTAATTAATTAATCATAAGATCAAATTATTATCCTCCAATTAATTCTGCATTATCAGATGGTTTTAAAAAATAAGTGATGATTATAAAATACATAAATTGTGAAAAATTTTCATTCAAAATATAAAAACAAATAGGTATGATTCATTTATACTTGCAGAATGATTTTAAAGTTCAATAAGTTGGAGTTTATTCACTAACCCATTCTAGTTAGTTAATATTAATTGAATATTAAATAAAATGATTATAGAACAAACTGCAATTATGGTAAAGAAAAAAGTTATACTTTTGATATTGAAAATTTTTATCTTTACAATTTTTAGATAGAACATCATTATTTCATAAAATGATGCATGATTATAATATACAAGTATAAAAGATTAATGCAATGACAAGTATAGATGATATTAGGGCTGTGCACACAGGATTTTGAAGATTTAACTCTTCCTGTTTAAGAATTTAAAAAATTAAACAATATTGTATAAAACTTATATTTATTTTGTACCCATTTAGTTTCTCCTTAGTCTGCTGTATTGTATTACTCTATACATCTATATTATAAAAATTAATAAACTATGTTATGGAAAAATAACATGCTTTTTTAAAAACTCTCCATTTAAAAATCCTTCACACAAACCTGGGTGACATCAAATTTTTGTAAATAATACATTCCACTTAATTAATTAATACTTTGTGTATTAATTAGAGAATTTGTAAAGTAAAAAGTTGTCAGCAACTTTTATGGGAAATAGGTAAATAACAATAATTTACACCTTTACAATATTTTTAAAATTTAACTTTATATACAGGTAGTCTACAACTACAACAGATCTTTCTTTCTCTCTCTCTCTCTTTCTGTTCTGGAACATCCTTTGTAAGTCAAACATGGAAAATAATGACAATAATGGGGTATGGTTCTCAAAGTGATACATAAGTCTACATAATATTGTACATTGTAATAAGATACTGTGCATATGTACTGTACTTATTAATACAATACAACAACACTGTTTAGGTTTTAGGTGTATTTCACTTTCACAAACATTTCACAAAGAAAGCAAACTACTCAATTTTTTCTTGGCATTCATAAAAGAATAACATGATTTTTGCTCAACAATAATATCCTAATGGATTACAAGAAATACAAAAATTGTTTTCAACTAAACATTATTGATTTTAAGGCTTTTAACACAATACAAAAAATAAAATACAGTCGACCCCCCTATAACACGGGTTCCTATAGTTCGGATTCTTATATCACGGTGAAAAAATTGTGACAGCATTCGTACAAACATGCTAAAAAACTCATATAATTCAGTAAAACATCATCGCCAACTCATGTTGTGACAGGATTGGTTGAATCTAGACCAATAGCGGATATTGCACAAACCGCTGAGTTTAAACGAGCAGCGGACCTACTAAAAACCACTTATTATTTAATGTCCATAAAAATTATATTTATATTAATGATGTCTCCAAAGTTCAGCAAATTTTTCGCAAAAAAAATAATTTATCAGGAAGCATGCAAGCGCCATTCAATGACAAGCTCCACGACGAAAACAAGCTTAAGCAATGGCGTGGTCAAACGGTGCACACTCGGTAAGTAATCCTACAATTTTTTGTTTATAGCATAGTTTATATAGATTATTCCCAAAAAATTATACGTATTTTGGAAATGTTGAGTCAAATTAGTTTAGAATTGATTAATTTTATGGAAGAAACCTTTCAAACAGACGTAGTCCGTAAACTGCATACGTTCCGGGCTGTGATTGGCTGGACTCGTAGAAAATGGATTCATAAAAACCGGAACATATTTACCGTGTTATAGGGGGGGTCGACTGTATTGCAAAAGAACTATGGGACAACAATCATGTAACAACTTTTTATGTATGGTACCTATGTTTACTGTGTTATCATCACAACATCCAATATATTAAAAAATACTTATCTATATGAGTATGTGGATATTGAGGCAACAAATTCGGTTCAGAACTTAGTAACCATTTTGTCAACATCAAATATGATGCTTTGGCATGATGAAATTCAAAACCATGCTGTAAAATTAAAAATAGATTGATTGGTTGGAATCAGAGAATTTTGATACAAGAGAAATTACAAATAATTTTCATACTTTAAAATGTTCAAAAATTACACAAATAAAAACTGAAAAATTAAGCAAAGAGATGAGAAACATACATTTACAAGTATTGGTATATAGGAAGCTTTGCTTCGAGGAACATGAAACCAGACTCCACGAATTCCATTGTTCATCCACTCACTTAAGGAAGCTACAAGAAAAAAAAATTAGATAATTTTAATGTTAAAATTTAGCTTGAAAAGATAATGTTGTATTTAATTTTATAAGTTAATAGATCTGAAGTGATAAGAATTACTTAATAGAATGTGTAATACATTTATTTAAATTTTTGGGTAATAAATTCATGGTGAAAAATGTATACTTTACTGATCTAAGAAATAATTGATTTTATATATTAATATAAATACTAATTGAATGCTATAAGCTTGATTTGTTTATGAAAATCAATTATTAAAAATAATATTGCATTATAATAATCATAAAAATGGATGAATCAGAAAAATTTAAATTTATTGTACAAACATTAATTCTTACATTGGAAATGTAAGCATCAAATACAGTAATTTAATTTTAAGAATAAATTAAAGACATATTTTCTAAAATTATAATATAGTTTATATATGGAAAATACATTTAATGTAAATAAAAAATCATCCTCTCCATATAAAATAAAGTATTAATAATTTAACATAAAAAATTATAATTAAAAATTATATAAGAACAAATAATTAAAACTTCTAAGTATACTAAAAGAGTAAATTTCATAAAATTCAATGCCACAAATATTACCCAACTTCTTTCATAAATTCCAGCACTCCAGTATATTAATAAAAACTTCAGTACAGTTTAAACTGAAGTTACTTTTCTGGATTACTTTTTTTTTAAATTTTAAAATAAATAAAGTTCACTGTAGCATGTAAAAAATCAAAATATCCTATGATCATGAATTATGCAATTGCATGACCTAATGTCATATGAAAGTTGAAAGTCATAAGTTTATTACAAACAAAACTGTATAAATCATTTGCAAAACAAATTCCAAAATGGAAATAAAAATTTATTATTTTCTAAAGAAAGATAAAACTAAAGAGATATTGCAAAACTAATCACAAATATATAACTCTAAAATGTAGTCATATTTAATTTCTGATAAAGAAGCTTTTACTTAAAATTTGAATAACTTACATCCAGTAACAGCTTGGGGTAATCTTGAATCAACAACAATAGTCCATTTTAATGTAGACCATATATACATTTATCAAACATATCAAAACTTAATTAATTCAAATTTATTAACTCTCAAAATTGTGTTCAGATCACCACATTTGTCTATAATTCAATTCACAGATCATTGGTTAGTTTAGTATATACAGTTTTAACCTTTAGCATTTCAAGATGTTTTTAATATGTGTAACTTGCAAATCCAAAAAACTTTTTTATTTAAGCAACTGTTCCCTGTTATTTTCTGTAACACTATGTCATTCTTCTTCAGATATGTTTCATCATCATCAATATCACTCTAATATATTTTCTGGTTTTACTTTCTTTTTTTACACTCTTATGTCATTTACATCACTATTGCTCTCAGCAGAATACTGTAATTACAGTAGAGCATCGTTTATCTGAATCAATTGGGGACTGGGGTTGTTCGGATAACTTATTTTTCGGATAACTGATTATGTACAAAAAAATATATTAACCTATCCCACATTGAAATTTTTTCTGTTTTGTGTAGCTTTGCATTGAATTTTTGTCGATGTTAAGTCTAACGTAAATTTTTTAAAATAATAATCGTGGCTATTGTATCATTAAAAATGATTTCTTTATTTTATACAAACAAAATAAATATATGGAAAAATATAAAAACAAAAAAAATTATACTTTAGAAGTTAATCTAGTATCAAAAAGGTTCGATTCAGCACAACACAGTCCAACAGGAATGCTTTCGGTTAACCAACGTTTTGGTTGATCAGCTTTTGGATAAACGAAGCTCTACTGTACTTTCATTTTCCTTTACTACAGTATCTTTCAAATTTCTATACAGTTCAAAATCGAATTTGTTTTTACATTTAGTATTTTCAAAATTGTCACAAGTCTTTTTTCATTAAACTTAAGTAATGATTTGCACTCACAATATTATCATAACAACATATGTATAGTTGTGATATAGATACATGTTGTCATAGAAAGTGCCAGCACACAGTCACAATTTATGAAACAATGTAGTCATAACAAGCTTGTGGAATTGTAATATACACTATGCATGTTGCTGTAAGGACAACAGTAAAGTTATGGTATATACTTTTGATGGTACTATAGTGGGTGGCACTATTAGCAGAGGCATAGCTACTGTGGAGCAGTTGGAGCAAACTGCTCCAGGCACACAAATCATGGTGGCACTAAGTTAGAAATGGTAAAATAAAAACTTGTAAAAACATTTGTAAAAAAAATTTTGTATTTAATAATTAATCAATTAATTATTAGATTTGAATCTGTTTGACAATTATGTACACTTTTTAAATGCTTATAACTTGCATATCTTGTCACGTCATCTGATAAAAATATTCTGAAAGAATCAGAATTGTTACAATCAACATATCCGTCCAATGTTTTGCCTAGTTTTGGACCTCAACTGCTTCAATTTAAAATGTGTTTTTATACTCAGGTAAAAGAAATTACTTCTAAATGCGAAGTTGCCAAACTACTTTTAATTTACACTGCAGCCTCAAGTAACTTTTCTCCAACATTATTGCAGCATACCTCATTTTTTTAACTTTACAGGCAACGACAGCAACAGCAGAATGAAGTTTTTCAGAACTAAAATTAATCAAAACTTATTTAAGAAGCAGCATGTCACAATACTGTCTTAGCTCTGGCTACTATATCAATTGAAAAAACAATAGCTTGTCAACTTGATCTGGAGAAAGTGACTGACTGATTTGCAAACAAAAAAGTGAGAAAACAACAATTTTGAAGTCTTTTTTTTTTTATTTATTATTGTATTATTATGTATTTGTCATGAAACTAAACTTGCATACATTTTGTCAATATGGTTAATATACTATATAATAAATATTAGCGATGTTGCAGCCAAAGTTTTCATTCTCTAAAACGTGAACTTGGAATGTCGAGTGCCACTATCTTGTAAGTAGCATTTGACGTTCAATGTTTATGTTTTAGAGATGAAAACTTTGCCCACAACCTTGCTATTATTAGGTACTCCATAATTAAAGAATTATATTTTGTTTTATTATTATATTTATATTTATTAAATTGAATATCTTATTGTTAAAATGCCTTGAATCTCAAATAAATTGTTATTAAGTAAATGGATAAATTTAAATGGAAATAATTAGATATATGTTTTTAAACTAAATGTTAAAAATATTTTGATTTAGTTGAATATTTGATTTTTAAAAGTAATTTTGCGAGACCTCTTTCGAGAAACAAGGAGGCACATCAATTCTACTTACTCCAGGGTGCTGAATATATAATGTAATAGGGTGTAATAGTCAGTAGCTACGCCACTGATTACAGTTGTATACTATCAATGTTAACATAGTGTCAATGGGTTAATATTAATATCTAGCAATTAATTACCCAGATTTAACATTATGCTATTATATTTAACATCTTACCTTTAAGTATTTCTTCAAATTCTACATCAGAAAATGTTATTTCAGCAGTCTCAACTGTAATACCATTATATCTGTAACAAAAAATTAATTTGAAGAAACATGCAAACCAAAATTTTTATGTTTGCATGACCTAATGTCATATGAAAGTTGAAAGTCATAAGTTTATTACAAACAAAACTGTATAAATCATTTGCAAAACAAATTCCAAAATGGAAATAAAAATTTATTATTTTCTAAAGAAAGATAAAACTAAAGAGATATTGCAAAACTAATCACAAATATATAACTCTAAAATGTAGTCATATTTAATTTCTGATAAAGAAGCTTTTACTTAAAATTTGAATAACTTACATCCAGTAACAGCTTGGGGTAATCTTGAATCAACAACAATAGTCCATTTTAATGTAGACCATATATACATTTATCAAACATATCAAAACTTAATTAATTCAAATTTATTAACTCTCAAAATTGTGTTCAGATCACCACATTTGTCTATAATTCAATTCACAGATCATTGGTTAGTTTAGTATATACAGTTTTAACCTTTAGCATTTCAAGATGTTTTTAATATGTGTAACTTGCAAATCCAAAAAACTTTTTTATTTAAGCAACTGTTCCCTGTTATTTTCTGTAACACTATGTCATTCTTCTTCAGATATGTTTCATCATCATCAATATCACTCTAATATATTTTCTGGTTTTACTTTCTTTTTTTACACTCTTATGTCATTTACATCACTATTGCTCTCAGCAGAATACTGTAATTACAGTAGAGCATCGTTTATCTGAATCAATTGGGGACTGGGGTTGTTCGGATAACTTATTTTTCGGATAACTGATTATGTACAAAAAAATATATTAACCTATCCCACATTGAAATTTTTTCTGTTTTGTGTAGCTTTGCATTGAATTTTTGTCGATGTTAAGTCTAACGTAAATTTTTTAAAATAATAATCGTGGCTATTGTATCATTAAAAATGATTTCTTTATTTTATACAAACAAAATAAATATATGGAAAAATATAAAAACAAAAAAAATTATACTTTAGAAGTTAATCTAGTATCAAAAAGGTTCGATTCAGCACAACACAGTCCAACAGGAATGCTTTCGGTTAACCAACGTTTTGGTTGATCAGCTTTTGGATAAACGAAGCTCTACTGTACTTTCATTTTCCTTTACTACAGTATCTTTCAAATTTCTATACAGTTCAAAATCGAATTTGTTTTTACATTTAGTATTTTCAAAATTGTCACAAGTCTTTTTTCATTAAACTTAAGTAATGATTTGCACTCACAATATTATCATAACAACATATGTATAGTTGTGATATAGATACATGTTGTCATAGAAAGTGCCAGCACACAGTCACAATTTATGAAACAATGTAGTCATAACAAGCTTGTGGAATTGTAATATACACTATGCATGTTGCTGTAAGGACAACAGTAAAGTTATGGTATATACTTTTGATGGTACTATAGTGGGTGGCACTATTAGCAGAGGCATAGCTACTGTGGAGCAGTTGGAGCAAACTGCTCCAGGCACACAAATCATGGTGGCACTAAGTTAGAAATGGTAAAATAAAAACTTGTAAAAACATTTGTAAAAAAAATTTTGTATTTAATAATTAATCAATTAATTATTAGATTTGAATCTGTTTGACAATTATGTACACTTTTTAAATGCTTATAACTTGCATATCTTGTCACGTCATCTGATAAAAATATTCTGAAAGAATCAGAATTGTTACAATCAACATATCCGTCCAATGTTTTGCCTAGTTTTGGACCTCAACTGCTTCAATTTAAAATGTGTTTTTATACTCAGGTAAAAGAAATTACTTCTAAATGCGAAGTTGCCAAACTACTTTTAATTTACACTGCAGCCTCAAGTAACTTTTCTCCAACATTATTGCAGCATACCTCATTTTTTTAACTTTACAGGCAACGACAGCAACAGCAGAATGAAGTTTTTCAGAACTAAAATTAATCAAAACTTATTTAAGAAGCAGCATGTCACAATACTGTCTTAGCTCTGGCTACTATATCAATTGAAAAAACAATAGCTTGTCAACTTGATCTGGAGAAAGTGACTGACTGATTTGCAAACAAAAAAGTGAGAANTACTTTCATTTTCCTTTACTACAGTATCTTTCAAATTTCTATACAGTTCAAAATCGAATTTGTTTTTACATTTAGTATTTTCAAAATTGTCACAAGTCTTTTTTCATTAAACTTAAGTAATGATTTGCACTCACAATATTATCATAACAACATATGTATAGTTGTGATATAGATACATGTTGTCATAGAAAGTGCCAGCACACAGTCACAATTTATGAAACAATGTAGTCATAACAAGCTTGTGGAATTGTAATATACACTATGCATGTTGCTGTAAGGACAACAGTAAAGTTATGGTATATACTTTTGATGGTACTATAGTGGGTGGCACTATTAGCAGAGGCATAGCTACTGTGGAGCAGTTGGAGCAAACTGCTCCAGGCACACAAATCATGGTGGCACTAAGTTAGAAATGGTAAAATAAAAACTTGTAAAAACATTTGTAAAAAAAATTTTGTATTTAATAATTAATCAATTAATTATTAGATTTGAATCTGTTTGACAATTATGTACACTTTTTAAATGCTTATAACTTGCATATCTTGTCACGTCATCTGATAAAAATATTCTGAAAGAATCAGAATTGTTACAATCAACATATCCGTCCAATGTTTTGCCTAGTTTTGGACCTCAACTGCTTCAATTTAAAATGTGTTTTTATACTCAGGTAAAAGAAATTACTTCTAAATGCGAAGTTGCCAAACTACTTTTAATTTACACTGCAGCCTCAAGTAACTTTTCTCCAACATTATTGCAGCATACCTCATTTTTTTAACTTTACAGGCAACGACAGCAACAGCAGAATGAAGTTTTTCAGAACTAAAATTAATCAAAACTTATTTAAGAAGCAGCATGTCACAATACTGTCTTAGCTCTGGCTACTATATCAATTGAAAAAACAATAGCTTGTCAACTTGATCTGGAGAAAGTGACTGACTGATTTGCAAACAAAAAAGTGAGAAAACAACAATTTTGAAGTCTTTTTTTTTTTATTTATTATTGTATTATTATGTATTTGTCATGAAACTAAACTTGCATACATTTTGTCAATATGGTTAATATACTATATAATAAATATTAGCGATGTTGCAGCCAAAGTTTTCATTCTCTAAAACGTGAACTTGGAATGTCGAGTGCCACTATCTTGTAAGTAGCATTTGACGTTCAATGTTTATGTTTTAGAGATGAAAACTTTGCCCACAACCTTGCTATTATTAGGTACTCCATAATTAAAGAATTATATTTTGTTTTATTATTATATTTATATTTATTAAATTGAATATCTTATTGTTAAAATGCCTTGAATCTCAAATAAATTGTTATTAAGTAAATGGATAAATTTAAATGGAAATAATTAGATATATGTTTTTAAACTAAATGTTAAAAATATTTTGATTTAGTTGAATATTTGATTTTTAAAAGTAATTTTGTGAGACCTCTTTCGAGAAACAAGGAGGCACATCAATTCTACTTACTCCAGGGTGCTGAATATATAATGTAATAGGGTGTAATAGTCAGTAGCTACGCCACTGATTACAGTTGTATACTATCAATGTTAACATAGTGTCAATGGGTTAATATTAATATCTAGCAATTAATTACCCAGATTTAACATTATGCTATTATATTTAACATCTTACCTTTAAGTATTTCTTCAAATTCTACATCAGAAAATGTTATTTCAGCAGTCTCAACTGTAATACCATTATATCTGTAACAAAAAATTAATTTGAAGAAACATGCAAACCAAAATTTTTATGTGAGACATAACTTATGTTTATATTTCATAAAACAAAGTGCTTCTTAACAGAATTTATTAAATTCATTCTAATTAAATATAAATAATTATTTGAATAAATTTATACTAATTTACAATTTTATAAGAAACATTTTAATAAAATACATTAGTTTGAAATCTGTTGTTTGTATTTGAAGAAATGGCCATTCTAATTACAATCCTTGGATAATTTATATATTTTAAAAGAAATTTATTTTGTTTGTATTAAACTCTCCAATATACATTTTTTTAAGTTGAATGCTGGTCATTTGCTATTTTTAATATAATTATATAAAAATTATTTTTGTTATATAATCAAGAAACCAAGAAAAACATTCACTGATATACCTGTAATTGTAAATAATATGAAAAATGAAATCACAAAGTAGAACTTCTGACCTTTCAACTATTAATTATTTAGAAAATTATAACTAAGTATGTACATCCCTTTATCATCATCTAAATGTTTAATAAATAACACTTAAATTTCAAGAATCTACACTTATGTTTCATGAATCTTTAGCTAGTTTGCCATGATATATAGCAACAGTGGCCAAACTGTGGCTTACAAGCTACATGAACTCTTATAGACCCTTATTGTGGCTCCTATATATGTTTACAATTTCTTTTTATAAACTTAGTACATACTACTTACATATATATAATATTTTTGTAAATTTTCTCGCTATTACATAGTGTAACATACACAGATCTCACAACTTATGCTTGAACAGGCAACTGAAAGCTTAGGATAAATTCATAAAGTTGAAGGATTTAAATGATTATTTACCTAGTCAGACAAAGTATCATTAAAGTAATAGTGATAACTGTATGTAGTTAAAATACTATAAATAGATAATGTGGTTCTCCAATAGACATTCCAATAGAGCAGTGTTTCTCAATGGGGGCGATATCGCCCCCATGTGGGCGTTTTTCCATGTTGAGGGGGCGATTAGTAATAGTTTATATTTTGGGGGGCGAAAAACAATTTTCTGGGCGATATAGTAAAACTTTATATTAAGAATAATTAGATATTTTATTCGTTATATCGTACAATAATTAAACAAATAACATTATTAGTCACTAGTCTATGCAGTACGAATTTGCCGTTAGTCTTGGCCCTCGACATCGGTATTTTGTAGTGAAGGGGGCGATACTACGTAACGGTTTTACTGAAGGGGGCGATACTACGTTGAAGGGGTGACGATTCGTTAGAGGTTGAGAAACACTGCAATAGAGGATGCTGCTCTTGTTTATTTCCAATAGGCAGTATATGGCTCCTATCATGACACGGTTTGGCCACCCTTAATATATAGTATCAAAGATGAGTCTATATTAGAGTGGAGAGTACAGGCTATATGAATTTAACAGAATCAGAAGCACATCTCAAGTCACTGGCATATACTTCTTTAAATACTCTAGAACAGTGGTGACAAACCTATTATCCACAGATAATAGGATTGAATGCTTACAAAGTATTAAGTTTTTTATACATTATTTGAAAAAAAGGCATATTTCAAAACTTTAGGACCCTGCTTCACATTACATAAAACTGTTGTGAAAAGTCTTAAAAAAAGACAAATTATATCCCTGATAGAAAAATTCTCATTAAAAAAACAAAAGATTTCCCATTAAACAAAATATTTGTTTTTGTTATAATTACATTATTATTTTTCACTTACGTAAAGTTTATTGTTAGTTTTCTGATATGTATTGAGTAAAGTAAAATTTGTAGGCATTTTATGTTATTTTTTAAAATACTCAAATTGAATATTTAACCCTTAATTTGGAGTTACTAAATGTCGAATCCAGTTTTGATCTACCTTCAGTCATTGCTGCTCTAGAGCCCCACTTGAATAATGTACAGTTTCCAGCCAAGATTTGGAAAATGACCTGTATTAATCATCTGTTTTATTATGTAGTAAACTTTGAACTTAGACATTATTATACTATTAAATAATGATACCCTTGAAACCAGCAAAAATTAGAATGTAGGCAAACATTTTTGCCTTTAAATTTAATCATTCTCAGACTATATCATTCTATAATGAAATGCATTTAAATTTAAATTTCATGTTCTTTCAAATGCATGCATGTTTGATCTTTTGCAGATATCCATTGCCTTACATAAATTTAATTTATATAAATTAAGTTAACAAAATACAGATATAAATTGTCAAAACAAGTTCACGACTTTTCCTGCAATGAGATTATATAAATCTTTCCCTATACTAGAGGAAGATTCCTCTCAAGTGAGAATACTGACTCCTTTGGATCAAAAATGCTTTCAAGTTTAAAGGACATCTATGAAACTAGTAGAAAGTTATGAAATGATATTCTAAGAAAATGAGAATTACAACTGTCTTTAAAAATAATGCATTTCTTGTCACTAGTGATGTCATAAGACTCTCACTACCAATTTCTTGTTTTCTTGTAAGTGCTATGATGTGTTTTATGAATACGAAATATAAAATATTGTTAGTTTCTTGTAACTTATGATATCAGAGAGATACTATGTCATATCTTATAAGACGTTTGTGAATCTGGACCCTGGTGGGTAAACAGCTTGACATGTATCCTATATTTACTCTTTCCTTATTGAGTAGACTATCTGTTAGACAGACTTCATACACTTCAGGGATTCCATTGGTATCCTTGAAGTGGATAATTGGTGGATACATTGGTATAGTAGAATTTCTTCTGTACACTAATCTAATTCTTCTTTAATGGCTCATCTATTTGTATATTTTATTTAAAGATTTATTGAACATAAGTATCTATGTGTTTTTTGTTCTTTGTTTTCTCTCTGCACTCAAATTTTGTTTAGATTGGAATGAACTGGCAATTCAAATTTTGTTTAGATTGGAATGAACAATTCATTAAAGATTTGTATAGAAAATCAATAATTCCTCATATAATTTAATATTTCAAGTAGAGTATGTGTAATTGAGATGACTAACTTTCAAAGCAATAGATTTTGACCCAGGCATTTTGTTTCAGCTGGATATGAGTAGCCAAAGAGGTCTGATATATCTGGACTAAATTTCAGATTACAAACGTAATCTGAAATTTAGTCCAGATATATCAGACCTATCTCTACTTATTTAATTGCCTCATTGAAAGTCTAGTTGAATCAAAATTAGCATGAAATAAAAATTCCTTTAGTGCCAAAGAGTGGAAAAAGCAAACAATTTTAGACTGAATTGTTACTATTGTTAACATAAAAAAGATAATCAAAAATATTACTTTAAATTGGAATAATTGCTCAAACTAGATTTATTCATGTTTACAACAAAATCTAGTTCAAAAATTATATACAGTAAAAACCCAATTTAATGTTTTTCAAGGAATTGGTGAAAAAATACATTAAATCACAGAATAAAATCAAACATTCTTAAAAAATATTTGTGCATATGAATTCAGAATAAAGTGATGAAAAACATGTATTATCAATATAAATGCTTCAAATTCTATTTATTTCATACAATATAATGTACAATGATTGGCACCTCTAAACATGTTTTACACAAAGATAACAAATTGTTAAGCTGTTTTTGACAGTATTCAAGGATACTTGTTTGTTTCCTAATAAGGATTAAATGTATTTTCATTGCTACAGTTTCTGAGTTTGAACCATAAATACATTTTTGTCAGTATCATTATAGCTATTGTGCATTAAGTTCAGTGGTACTGTACTGTACCTTATACTAGGGCAGATCTACATAGAGACTAATAGGGCTTAAGCCCTGGCTTGATGTCATGATGAGTGGCATGATTGTGTTCCATCAGTATAAGGTGGATCTACATAGGACTAATAGGGCTTAAGCCCTGGGCCCTAAGTATCAAGGGCCCACAAAAATTGAATTATCATCATAAATTTTTAATACTTTTTCATTAATAATGAGCACTTATCATGTAGTAAAAAATAATTAATATTAATAATATAATAATTTTAAACCCCAATTTAAAGATTCTTAATCTAACAAAAAATGGGACTCTGTTGGATTTCAATAAGCCCTAGGCCCAAAAAAGTATAGATCCACCCATGCTCATACTTCAAATTTTTGTTGAATTTTGCATTTGAAAAAATTTGCCTTGGCATTCTAATGAAGCTTCAAAGTTTGAACTGTGTGTGCAGTGAAAAACTGCACTCAAAGAATAAATGTTATGTATCCAAGTCAATTTTTGCTCTTGCTCTTGCATTACACTTGTATGTTTTCAGTGCTTTTTTTGCTTTATTTTTGGTGTGTTTGGTATATAATGTATTATGTATTATTTGTCAACTTTTAACAATCTATTTCTGCAATATTTCTTTGTTGACAGCTTTTGGGCACCCCATAAATTTTGTATCCTTTATTTCAAAATTTTCCAAACAACTTTTTAAACCACATTTGACATAATTTAAAAATGCCAGACAGTATATTTACATTGTATACAGGTTAACCACACTCGTTTATAGGTACTGGTATAATATATAATAAACTCCCAACAACCTTTATATGACCAGTAAAATATTTAAAAGTACTACAAACGTTTTCAACCATTATTTCTGGTCTTCTTCAGCTTAAAAGTTCCGAGATTCGAATAGCAGTTGTGCTTGAAGATTTAAACTTTTTTTTTAGAACGTATGAACAGTTGCATATAGATTTATACTGCATGTGCATACTAAGTATAGCATATACAAACAAAAGAATATATCAATATATTTTTTTACACACATAAAAAACGGTGGAGATCCGGATTAAATGGGGTCTTCGCATTCATAATAGATCTTCCAAGCATTAAAATATTAATCACATCCTTGGAGTTGATGCAGTTATTGTGAAACCCAGTTTTGTATATTTTGAGAGTTTCTAGCGAGTGTATATGTTCTCTTTGGCAAGATAGATTAATTATTTGCATGTTATGCAGGTCAGATCTTATGCCCGGCTTTTAATATTTACAATATATAAAATACAGAAGATACAAAAAATTTTTACTAAGGAAGATTGTTAATTCCTGGTGTTGGACCTTCACTGTTCAAATAACCAAGCGGAGCTCTGGGCTATGCTCAGAGCCTTAATCACTGTAACAACTAATCAAAAGAAGTATAGGGGCAATATTAACTTTAATACCGACAGCAGATATGTGCTGAACATACTTAATAATAGCAGCAAAAGTACTGAAATAGGAATAAAAGCCAGACAACTAGCCAATAATCTAAACAACCGAAGAGCCTTTATGTTTAATTGTACTCCAGGCCACTCTGGTGTTGAGGATAATGAGGAAGTGGACAGGCTAGCCAAAAGATCTGCCTCCCTGGAGTTACACTATGCCTACGATAAGATCCCTGTCACGAATATCAACAGACATATTAATAACAAAATCGTGAACATCTGGCAAAGAGATTGTGAAACCTCCAACACTGGCAGTCACTTATAAATTCTTCCCTTCTATTAAAAAAAGGCAACACCTAACCTATATAAACATTAACTATATTACGACACAATGCTTCACCAGCCATGGCAACCTACCAAGTTACCTGAGCAGATTCAAAGTAAGGGACAACGCTACTTGCAACTGTGACTGTCAATCTGTGTGCGATATTTATCATGCTCTCTTGGACTGCCCAAAGCATGATGCTGCCTGCCAGCCGCTATACTGTCTCACCATTCAAAATGGCCAAAACTGGCCACCCAGCCTAGATTTCTTCTGTTCTTCTAAGGAAACTTACTAGGCCTTCGAAACTTTCACCTGTTCTCAGCTACAACTAATCAACCACACCAAGCTACAACAACAACAGCGGCAGCAACATCAGTAACAACAACTATATCAGCAACAATAGCAACAGCATTAGCAACATCAATAACGACAACAAATATAATGGCTGCTGCAACATCAGGTCATTGACTGCATCAGCATGGTGGTTTTTGGTGGCTTGCTGGCCTTTTGTCATCCTGCTTTTATAAGATGTTATACCTTCATTCAGTCTCCAATGTACTCAACTATGTAAATTTACACATTCATCATTGCCAGAAGGGCACTTTGTATATTTATGTTTGATTTATACTGTAATCTTGTTTTGTAATTTTGTATAGTATCTTGCACTCTAGCAATTGCCATAAGCTTTCATATCTTCTTTCACACTTTCCTTTTTTCCTTCATTTTACACTTGGTCTCTTATTCCTTTCCTCTTCCTTCCATTTCTTATAGGGCTAAGTCTGCCGCTAAATGACAGACAGCTCTTGTACTCTTTAAGTAAAGTAAAGTTCCTGGTGTTGGAAAGGGTGGAAATGAAGACTTTTTTGTATCTTCTGTATTTTATATATTACACATTTGACATGTTTAAAGTTTTGGAGCATATCCCCCTCCACATTACAATATTTTTTTTACTGTTTGTAGAATATTATATTCTTTCTGCTTTTATATAAATATGCTTTTCTTATCCAAAGACATTACAACTTAATTTTATTCAAACAAGATGTGAAGTAAAGAGTTTAAAGTAAGATTTTAAACAAAGAATAAAGTCTCACATTATCTTTAATATGTTAAACTTCACAACTGTTATAATTAAATCACATAACTATTAAAATGCTGAAGTCAACGGTGTGCACAACCAACAAATGCAATTTTTGTTTTATTATACATTATTTATGTATTTTATTTATTGCTTTCACTTTTAATTTATTATTAGGACATTTGTGTTATTTTACCTTAAATTATGTGTATTTGCTATTTTAACTTTATTGAAATGGGTATTGTTTAGGGTCTGGGAGTAGATTAATTCACTTTCTGTTACTTCTAATGTGAAAAATTGATTCAGACTTGAAATGATTTGGAGTTCGAATGACCTCTTAGAATGAATTAAATTTGAAATATTAGGCACCACTGTATTTCTTTTTGTATTTTGCACTTGTTGCCATAATGCCATATCTGGATTTGTAATGCATAGGAATACTGTATCAGGATTGGAGAATCTATAATTCCTAACAGTAGACTGAAAATTGACTCAATATTGCTTTACTATACTACCTATGCCAATCTCTGGATCCAGCAATAATTGCTAAGGCATCAAAACTATAGAATATAGATGTCTTATCACTCTCACGGGGCAAAATGATCTCGCTAATTCATCTCCGATCATCCAAAATGAAATATGTTACTTTTTTAAAATGTTATTTCAGGTAAAAATTCATCTAAGGATTGAGTTTTTGATGTATTAAACCCAAAAATATGCAAAATTGAAAACACTAAATGCTATAACATTAACATTGTGGTTTATGAAGATTAGAAGTAATTGGTGAAAAATATGTTAAATTGAGTTTCTACTGTATTTCCAAATAATCTAGTATTTCTTGTAATAGTTAATATATCATTTATAAAACTCAGAATACAGGGCATTAGACATGATAAGCAGAATATTTCAGGACCATCCCAAACAAATCCAGATTCTTGGTGAAATTGATATATAAATAATTTTTAATTCTCCAAAATACTATTGTAAACACTTGCTTCCATTGTTTTAAATTACGACATACGATTCGTATGATAAAAATGGACGATCCGATTATGATTAATTAATAGATAGTGAACTTTATTTACATAAATTCCAATAAATTTAAAATATTAAATTAATATTTAGTTCAAATCGATTATATTGCATCACTGGAATTTGTTTATTTAATTTAATTTAAATGCAATGGCTTTTAAACAAAATACTTTTCAAGCATTGTAAACTTTGTTTTATTAAAAATGAATAAACTGTTGGAAAATGTTATTTAACCTAGTAACTACCTGTCTTTTTGACAAACGAACTGCTTGCCGGTTGCAGAGAATTCTGAAGCCATCGAAAACAACTTAAGATGTAATAATTTCGACTTTAAGGACAAATTATGCACTATCTGAAATGAAAAATTTATTTTAATATTATTTCTATAATTAATAAATAAATAGTATCAAATATAAAGTCGAAACATTTAATTTATATTAAATAAATTTTTTTTTTACAATTTCACGGATTAGATATCACTCACGTGCCTGAACATACAACATATGGAAGTTGCCATCTTGGAATTATAAAAGGCGATACGTTATAGAGGTAACTTCATTAATTTTATAGATATTAAGAAAGATAACGATCAAATAGAAAAATTCGAATTTTTCTAAAATTAAATATAAAATTGATAAAATAATTATATTATCGATATTAACGAATTTATTACTCCATAAACGAACTCCTCGTCGTCCATTACATATCAGGTCTGATTGGGAAAGTATATAAATCGGAATTTTGTAAAGAATTTGCTTTTTTAATTAAGAAGAAAAAAGAGTCGATCATTTGTATTATAGTAATTGTATATTTATATTAGGTAAGTTTGTTTAATTTATTATGCAGAAATGGGAAGTAATTCATTTAGAATTCTTCTCCATCATCTTCGTTCTCAGAAACCTTTGGGAGGAATATGAATCATTTTCATTAATGAATCTCCTTTTACACATCTATCACAATTGAGTTAAATGAAATTGATTACTTATACAGTTTCGTTTTAAAATTCAACTGTAAAGATGCTGTTTTACTGACCTGTGTAAGAATCTCTTGGTATATTATATTGAAATTTTGTGTAATTTAGATTACAATTTTTTTAAATGCTTAAGAAAATTTGTGGTGGAAAGACGTTTTGATATTTTAGGTGCAATTTGAGACATAATGATCAAATAATTCTTAATTATTTAAGTTTATTTGATTAATGTACGTTAATCATTCAAAATTGAAAGTGTGAAGAGCTCGATCAGCAAAGATTTAACAAGATTCACCTAGTTATATACTGTAGACTTTCTATGTATAGCATGAGTAGTAATTCCTTATTGTAATGATAGTTTATTACATTCAAAATTAAGTCTTAAAGCAGATGTTAATTTTGATTGTACTACATATAATTTTAGTTCCGTATTATGAATGTGTTTTCCATGTAATGTGTAAACTCTCTAATTAAAAATCTCTCTCGACAAAATATTTATATAGTTTTGGACTGTTTCGTTTCCAGAATCGATGTGTTTAAAATGTAATTGTTGTCTTGATGCTGACTGTAAGGGACTAGAACCTGTTTGCCCCAATACTTTAAAGTGTTGCTGGGCCCCTCAAATTGAAAGATAAAATAATTTTTATCCTTGAACTTTCAGGGGCCCAAAATTATTTAAAATATTATTGGGGTTAAATAGGTTCTGGTCCCTTAGAGTTGGCTTAAGAAATACCTAATTATTAAATATTATCAAAGATCCACTACTCAAATTTTGATTTCGATTGACAAAAAATCGAAATTTGACTGAAAATGTCAAATTTGTTAATAATCTGAAAAGAATCGAAATTGATGACTGAAAATGTTTGAATTTGTTAATAAATATGGCTGTAGTTTATAAGGTTTTTGAGTAGTGGATCTTTGGTATGAAATGCAGTCTACGAAGAGATTAACTATTATCTTTTCATTAAAAAGCACTTATTTGAAATTTCTCTGAAATTATTTTTGGAATAGTGTTAATGTGTAAAATACACAGAAGTTTTTGTTGGGTTCACTTTATATTGAAATGATAGGAAATATTCAAATAACTGAACTGAACTGAATTGTTCTGTAATTGATACTATTAACAATTATTTACTGAAATAAAGCTACTTAAGCTATGAAATCTTAATTTTATATTTATTGTTTATTTAAAACAGCTTGTTGATAAAATTTTCATATTCTTACTACTATAATTGGCATTTATTAGATTTATGCTGTATATTATTTTAGAATTTGTAGAATTGCTCAGAAAACTCAGATATTCTATTTGATACTTATTGATTTTGTCAATTTTATGAGTTTTAGATTCTTTTCAGTTTCTTTGTTTTCTGATTTCAAATGATTTCTAACAAATCTCATTATCATTAAATATTTCAATAGCAAGTAACTCAGCATTACTTACGTAGACTAACGGCACAAAACCTTTCTCACTAATTTCTAGCCTTATTAACTGGAGTACAACCAATAAGGCTACTGGAGTAGCCTTATTACTTACGTATTAAACATCTGAAGAAATGTTATATATCATCAGATTTGTTTACTGTTTATGCATCAAGATTGAAAAATAAAGCAAGTGGTAAAATAATAACACCTAATTTAAGATAATGATGATGGTTTCATTTATTGTTTTTTGTAATATATGTATCTTGATATATGAAGTCCATGTGTCCAAATTCTCACTACAATAAAATACTCTTTAGTACTCATTGTTATATCCAAATTGAATTATCCTGGTATTACAAACTTTTTAAAGCGTGTTTGCAAAATATTCATAAAATGGTAAGTGATTTCTTTCCAGAATCTGTTTTCATTTGTTTCCAGAATCTGTTTTCATTTGTTTCAGTGATATTTTCATTCTATTACATTATGAAGTTCAATAAATTTAACTACAAAATTTTAGTACAAACTTACATTTAATAATTCATTTTAGTAGGCTAACTTATTTGTTTATTTTTATTATTGTTGTTTTTATATAGTATTGCTTTTTAATATAAAATGTATAGTATCATCACAACCTTTCCTTGCTGTCTACTGCATTTGAAGAAAGTGCAGTTCAGATAAAAATTTCTAATGAGGATGCTATACAAATGTTTATATATATATATATATATATTACTGTCTATAAACATGTTATTTGATGACCTAATTATGTATTTGTAAGACAATTGGAGTTTGTAATATTTAATATTATGCTAAAATACAGACTGATAGTGTAAATAATTTTTTATATAGTGTTTATATCATTTGACAAAATTGGTTATTTGTATGGACCAGGAATAGATTAAATTTTTCTCATAAATAATGGAAAAACACTTCTGATATTTGAATTGTTTTAAGGAATGCATTACATTTATGGTGTCTTGAGGGGTAACTAGAACAACTAATAGGGATGGTTCTAGCACATTGTGGGATGGCCTTACTGGTTTTGGAGTCAATATACCATAAGACAGTGTTCCGCAACCAGTGTGCCACGGCACACTGGTTGCGGAACACTGTCTTATGGTATATTGACGTGTGCACGGTATACCACGGCACACCAGTGTGCCACGGCACACTGGTGTGCCGTCACAAGGTGGAAGGTGTGACGTGAACTTTTACATGATTCTACTAATTTCAGGCTTTATTTATATATTTTTATCACAGTTGTTGTGTTTCATATGCTTCTATTTCATTCACCGATGAAATAAGATGATGTTAAACCAATAAAACACATATGTAGTCCTAATACTCACTTATTCTTTTGGAGTTATATATTGGACTCACACAGATCTTAAGCAACTCCAAAGGAAAACAAGAACAACACTTACTAAGCATAAACAACATCATCCTAAATCTGCCATAGAAATATTAATCCTTTCACCTAAAAATGGCGGATGTGGCCTGATCGACATAGTTAACCTATACTACTAACAAAGGGTACGTTCGTAAAGTCAAACGAGTTAAGCGCGTTAGTAACGAATGGTTCGAATAGTAGTAGTCTCACCCAGTGCGCATGCTCTGCGGTGATGACGTTGCGAACGAAACTCTAACGTATTTCACGAAGGAAAGAGTTAGTTTACTTCGTTAAGAAAATGGCACCCGACGATATCGATATTTCTAAATCTACCCGAGTGTTTAAATTGTGAATTAAAAGGTGAAATAATTGAAATAACTGTCCACCCGAAACAATCTAAGAAAAATATTTCGGATAAGGCTGAACTAACAACATTAATATCTTCGATTTTAGAAACATCCATTTAGTTATAAATGGATGTTTCTAAATCTTATTTAAATCTTAATCTAAATCTTATTATCTTAAATTCTTATTTAGTTAGACTTTTCGAACGATTCGAAAAGTCTAACTAAATAAGAAACACGATGACGTCATTCTCGTTTAACTCGTTCGACTTTACGAACGTACATAAATACAGTCACTGCGAGAGTTTTTCTACATGAAACAAGAAATATCACAATTACAATAAAGCAGTAACTCTAGCAGACTCAAATAACACACCATTAAACTTACACTCACATCATACAGACTTGACACAACATATAAAAAGCATAGACACCATTAGGCAATCGTGGGCAATTGTATGGATGTCCATGGCAGGCATCCATACAACCTAGCCCAGGATTTTGCTGACAAAACTGTACATCAAACAGCTGGTTAGATCGGGGATGCCTCTTTGGGGAGACAGAAGAATTCATGATTGCCATACAGGATCAGGTCATAAATACTAAAAACTACAGAAAACACATACTCAAAGATACAACACTCACAAATGACACATGCAGAAAATGTCACATCATGCCAGAAACTATACAACACATCACTTCTGGNACTACAGAAAACACATACTCAAAGATACAACACTCACAAATGACACATGCAGAAAATGTCACATTATGCCAGAAACCATACAACACATCACATCTGGTTGCTAGCTCATGGCACAGACAGATAATTTACATAGACATAATCAAGTAGGAAATACATCAAGAGCTTGCAAAGAAACAGAAATTATTAGACATCCACGAACCATACTACAAATACGTTCAACAGACAGTATTGGAAAACAACATGCACAAAATGTACTACAACAGATAAAAGAATTTACCACAACAGACAAGGCATCAACTCATTGACAAACACAATAAAATCATATACATTATAGACATATTTGTATATAGTATTGGAAAACAACACGCACAAAATGTACTACAACAGATAAAAGAATTTACCACAACAGACAAGGCATCACACTCATTGACAAACACAATAAAATCATATACATTATAGACATATTTGTTCTAAACACTCACAATGTACAAAACACAGTGCAGTGAAAATATCAGCAAGTACACAGAACTCGCCCAGAAAAAAAAGCATCTGTGGAGGATGGATAGGGTGCTTATTGTACTTGTCATTCTCTCCTCTAAAGATGTCATACCACATACGCTACACAAAAGCCTGGAAACATAAAAATTGAATAGAAACACACATCACACTACAGAAGGACACTATATTGAATGCATGTCATATTGTTAGGAAATTCCTGTATACAGACGCACAGTGACACACTTATTTAATTTTTGTCTTGTTTTGTTTACTATGCCTTGACTCTGGTTCGGCATAGTACACAGCCATCGGTGTCAACTGAGTATAACTCACAAAAATCAACATAATAATAATAATAGGTTTATGGCATTACGAAATTCCACTAATAGTATCATATCATAAGTTTTTGAGGGGAATAACATTTTGGTGTGCCGTGTTGAGTCATTTCGAGTCATAGGTGTGCCGCGGGTAGAAAAAGGTTGCGGAACAC